TGACGAATGACGTTACGGGTGGGCAGGTCGAACCACCTTAGGGTGTTGTCGGACGCAGTGACGATCGTGTTAGGATCCTTGGTCCAAGCAATGAACTTGATGGAGCCAGTATGGGTGCCTTCGCCAATCTCAAAGCCGGCCGAGGCAGGCACGGTGATGGGCGTACCGGTGGGAGAGTTAGGATCGGGGGCGAAATCGCTGAGGTCGAAGACGCGAAGCTTCTTCTCCATGCCTCCTGTGGCGATGAGCTCAGAGTTGTCAGGCGGGTAAGCGACGGCGCGGACGATGTGGTTGTGCTGAAGGGTGTAGAGGACTTCTCCACTATGAGTGTCCCAGACCTTGCTGCTGGTCATTAGTCACGGTTCGGAGTATGAGTGACGTGTGATAAGACTTACGCGGTGAAGTCGGCAGAGGCGGTTGCGGCGTTGGAGGCATCAGGACTCAATCTGGCCTGCCAGACAGCACCCTTGTGGCCAATGAAGGTTCCGATCCTGTGTGAGCACTCGTCAGCCACGCGCGGTCAACTGGTCTTGGAGGAGGAAGCTACCAATCGCCAGTAACACCATCGCGCAACATTGGATTTCCATCTGCGACAGGGTTAGCAAAACCCTGGTGGCAGCGCAGGATCATTTATCTCCAGCTTACCCTTGCAAGCAGAGATCATGTAGTATTGCTCTCCCTTCTCAAGGCCAGAGAAGCAGACGTGAGGAACAGGTCGAGAGTGACCATGGCAGGTCAGAGGAACATATTGACGCGAGGTCTCGGCAGCGGGAGGGGCAGCGGCAGCCATATCGTCGTTGAGGGGAGGAATTCGGGGTGCTAGGTGCTTGTTGGTTTCGTGAGAGTCGCAATCGCAACGTTTGCGCTGTGGATGGGTATCAAGTTGTCGACAAGTTGGATGCTTTGTTTTTTTTTGGTTGTTTTTTTTGGCGATTGACAGTCGAAGGAGATGAGGAAAAAACGAAGTCAAGGAGAGTCAGTCAGATACAGCCGTTACGTCGTAAATATCGTGAGGAGTAGGTACGATGGATCGCGTGAGGGCAAGCAGCGCAGCAATAGCTCCAGGAAATAGAGCGAACGCACGTCAAGGGAAAGGAAAGAAAAAAGGAGGACGGGGAAAGCTGCAGGAGGATGCGAGAAGCAATGGGAGAGCGGCGCAGATGAAATAATAGTGGGGGGCTCCCCGAGTCGGAGCAAGGCCGATTTGCGCCTGGATTATGTCGGGTGCGATTGTTTGATGGAAGCCGCTGCAAGAGCAGGTGCGAAATGTGAGAGTGTACCTACTTGTTGGAAGCCGGTTCCATGAAAGGAGGTACAAAGGTACACCTTGTACCTTGTTCGGGAGGAGTCAAGGAGATTCGATGGACCCCTGAAACCAGGCCGGTCCTGCCACGAGCAGCCAGAACTTCAGAGTGACCCCGCGCTGCTCCGTGCAGGACGCGGATTCTATTCCTACCTAATACCTAACACCTAAGAGGGGGAGCTGCTGAGGTAAGCGTCCTAGCAGTGTGGCTTGCAGGCAGCCCTGCCTGTTGGAAGCCACGTGCTGCTTTGCTTGCTGGCCCCATAGATGTGGCTGACGGTATCCGTAGGCCCACAGTATCTACCTAGGTATCCGTGAGGTATGTAGGTACTGTGGCGCATTGGAGCTTCAGCGTTCCCGCTTCCGTCATCATCGTCTAGCTACCTTACCTACTTGACTACCTACCTCCCCTCCATAACGTAAGGCAAGGAAGGTACCGCCCACCACCTCGAATCGATACGAGCGAGCTTTCCACCTAAAGAGCCACCCTCGGACTCTCTGGACTCTTTCTGATACCTACTTACTTTTCCCGACCTTCATCACAGATTGCCAGCAATGACGACAGACTTCAAGCTATCCGCCCAGCTGTCTGGCCACGACTCGGACGTAAGCAAACGAACCTTCAACGCTCTATTCATCAGCTAATGCAAATGCAATCCACAGGTCAAGGCAGTCAGCTTTCCTTCTCCTCAAACCCTACTCACTGCTTCTCGAGATGGGAGTGTACGAGTCTGGCGTCAAACGTCTGGCCCCCCTCCGACTTTCGAACCCGCAATCTCAAGTCAAACATCCGAATTCGTCAACGCTGTCACATACTTTCAACCCTCCGAATCATATCCGGAGGGACTGATTGCCTCCGGTGGTAAGGATACAATCGTCGAGGTCAAACAACCCCAAGCTGCCCCGAGTGACAACGCCGAGAGACTTTTGATAGGTCACTCCCAAAACGTGTGCACTCTGGACGTGTCGCCTCAGGGATCCTATCTTGTATCGGGCGGATGGGATGCTCAGGCCATCGTCTGGAATATCAACACCTGGGAAGCTGAGATTCGTCTCAGCGGTCATGATAAGAGTGTGTGGGCTGTCCTTGCTCTTGACGAGGACACGGTAGTCACGGGATGCGCCGATACTAGCATCCGCATTTACAAGCTTTCCTCCGCCATTGCCGGGGACGCCGAACCACAGTCAACTATCCACACACCTGAAGTCATTCGTGCTCTTGCAAAGGTTCCCAAGGGCCATTCGAGCGGAGCTGATGTTGCAAGTGCCAGCAACGATGGCATCATCAGGCTTTGGAAGCTGAATGGTCAGCAAGTTGGGGAGCTAATCGGCCACGAGAACTTCATCTACGCTTTGACAAGCCTTCCTTCGGGTGAGTTAGTCAGCTCCGGAGAGGATCGCACTGTAAGAATATGGAAGGGGAACGAGTGCGTTCAGACGATCACACATCCCGCCATCTCGGTATGGGCTGTTGCTGCGAACCCGGAGTCTGGCGACATCATTACAGGAGCCAGTGATGGTGTCGCGCGTGTCTTCACGCGCAACTCTGAGCGGGCAGCCAGTGCCGATACCATCTCCGCGTTCGAGGAGTCGGTGAAGGCTTCAGCAATTCCTCAGCAACAATTACCAGACATCAACAAGGAGAAGCTACCTGGTCCCGAGTTCCTTCAGTCTAGGTCGGGTACTAAGGAGGGCCAGGTGCAGATGATCAACGAGGGCAATGGACTAATCACTGCCCACCAATGGTCCCAAAGTAAGTTTGATCTTAAAGCACTCTCTCCCATACACGGCTAACGGCGCAAAGGTCAACAACAATGGATCAACATTGGCACCGTAGTTGACTCCGCTGGAAGCAGCGGGAAGAAGACAGAACACAATGGCAAGTCTTATGACTACGTTTTCGATGTTGATATTGAGGACGGAAAGCCACCCTTGAAGCTGCCTTACAACCTATCCCAAAATCCTTACGACGCCGCGACAAAGTTTCTCAATGACAACGAGCTGCCTCTGAGCTACCTGGACAACGTGGCCGGCTTCATCACCCAGAACACCAAAGGTGCCACTCTAGGCCAGTCAGCATCCTCAGGTGGTGCTGATCCTTACGGCACCGAGTCGAGATATCGCCCAGGCGAGTCTGAAACTTCAGCTCCCAAGCTCCTACCGCACACCGAGTATCTCTTCATCACGGCCGGCAAATACGATGCCATGATTAATAAAATTCTCACAATCAACGCGAACATGATTTCGTCTGGTCGCAAGGACTCTGCCCTGAACCCCAACGAGCAAAGCATACTCAAGGCTGTCAAGGAGGCCATTGGATCTTCGACGGCGGTTAACCAACAAGGCATCGATCTTGCGGTCAAGATTGTGACACACTGGCCTTATGCCGAGCGACTCGCTGGCCTGGATCTGTTAAGATGTGTTGCTCCGGCACCTCTCGCTGCTAAACTCTCACTTCCCGGTGCTTCTTTCCTCCAGATCGCTGCGACCAGCGCTTTAGAGGCGACAGACGGTGCCGCGCCCAATGAGAATTCTGCAATGATGGCACTCAGGGCATTTGCCAACATCTTCAGCTCCCCTGAGGGTCGAGCGCTAGCCGCGAAGGAGGCTCCTCTTGCAGCGAGCGTTCTAGAGCGTGTGTTGGGTATCTCCGGTGGTGCTGCGATTGGGCCTTCTAATCGCAACGTCCTAGTTGCTGCGACCACTACTCTAATTAACTATGCCGTGCTCGCCTCGAAGGAGAAGTCCAAGCAAGAGTCGAAACGTTTCATTCAGGCCCTTGGCAAGATACTCTCTACGCAATCCGACTCGGAGGTTATCTACCGAGCACTTGTCGCTTTGGGAACGTTTGCTGCTACCAACAAACCTGAGGTGAAGAGTCTGGGAGGCGAGGGTTGGATCAAGGGGGCTATCGACCGCGTGTCGGAGCCGCGGGTGAAGCATGTGGGACAAGAAGCTCTCCAACAGCTGTGAACGATGCATAGTGTGATAGGATTGATGTGGGATAATGAAGCTTGCTTTATGGAGTTTCCGGAAACATGACTTGGGTGACGGCTATGTGATGGCCGTAAGGGTGCGCGCCTGCTGACGCTCCGGCGAAACGGGAGGGAGGGGGGGAGACGCCAGGGGGGTTTGCGGTTATCATACAGAGTCAAGTAGCTGGCCATCTTGGACCGCTACCTGTAGAGCAATGCATGCACCGGTAGATTACTGTTCATGGCGTTCTCCAGTGTGGCTAATTGAGCGTCTGGTACAGCTAAGCGTTCGATGTGATGATGACGAATAAACCCGGCGTTATCGTTTGGCCATCATTATCGGACAGAGCTACAAAGGGGATCCAACGAAGACGTGCTAGTCAACATCCCGATATTCCTCTGTCACATCTTATAGTACCAGTCTGCGTAATATTTCTGAACGTGTTTGTAATTGTGACCGCGGTAAGCGAGCATTGTTGATGGGGTGTACTTCAGAAAAGAATGAGTACTTCGTTTCAAAGAGGAAAAGACAGGGGGAAAAAAAAACACCTGCGGGCCGCAGCCGTTTGAAGCTATCCCTCCATATAAAAATAAAATAAACATAAAAACGCCGTCTTTAATGCCTCCCAAGAATGTACAATAGTTCCCAAGGTATAATCCATCCATTGCGTCCATCCGACTCTCAGAACAACTCATGCATAAAATTGGGCCGTGCTGCTCAGTCACAGCAGGATCCAGAGCGCACCGAGCACAAGCGGGAGCAAACCAGCGACGGAGAAGCTCGTTGTCGTCCTTGCGCCAGCGGATGTTCCTTGCACATACCCCGCGCCAGACTCTTTTGTCGTGATAGTGTAGACGTCGCCGAAGCCGATGTCGGTGGAGTTGAAGCAGTTTGTCTCGTTGACTTTTCCGATTTTCGGGTCGCCTGGCTCAGCGAATTCAATATCGACGCACTGTTGTTGCGGTATTAGCACCTTTCTACCTACTTCTCTCTCTGTGTCTCTTTCTGGCCGAGGTAGAGGGGCAGGGAAGACTTACTGAGAACAGAGCGGCGCCGTGAACAGCAAGCTCGACAATTTGGATCGTGGCGTGATCTCCGGCCTTGACGGTGGTGTTTGCCGGGAGGGGCACTTGCGGGAGGCAGACGGTGCCCGGGTAAGGGTTTTTGCTGGGACCAAGGATTTGGAAGACGGGGACCATGGGGAAAGACATGTTGATGGGACCGCCGTCGGGCCCGTCGCTGCCGAAGCCCATGTTGGCATACATCATTGCCTGGGCGTGGCCCTGGAACCAGCCTGGTTGGAAGGCGAGAGCACCACCCGTCGTGGGCCAGTAGGTGCGGTTTTGGGTGACGTGCATGCCGCCGCCTTTGGGGATTGATTAGTGAGGCTGAGTCTTTGACTTATAGAGTGTATGAGGGTTGAAGTTTGGCCGGGGAGAGAGCCATGGCGATAGCGAAGGTAAGTGATTGACGGCCGAGGAGTGAGAACTTACATGGGTAGTTCCATTGCATGCCGTAGGGGAATGTGTCATTGGTAATGAGGTTATTACCGCGCCAGCCCGGGTATGAGATGACGATGTGGGCTGACGCTGTCGCGGCGAGGACGAGTGCTGATAGTATTGAAAAGAGCATCTTGGCGATTTGTGTATGGAAGGTGGCCGTCCAAAGTCCACGATTGTCTTATTCTAATGGCGAACACTACCTTTTCTGCACTTGGAATCCGGATCGACAAATATACACTTTCTTCTTTCACAAGCTTTTCGTCTGACTGTCTGTCTGTCGGAACGGCTTGCAAGCTCGCCTGGAGATTTTTGAGGTGGTTGGTTGCTCGGATGGTTCGTGTGAGCTTTTGAGGCAAACCTCGCTTGAGATAACGAAAGATTCTCGAAAACAAGTCCAACTAGAGGGGATTCCACAGCTTTGTTCAAGAACAAGGGTTCTGTGAGATCAAAGAATATCCTGGTGGTGGCACTAGGTGAGTCGAGTTGGAAAGAACAGAAGGGAGAAGGCGCAAATGAGAGACGACAGGCTGAATGATATTTGGGCGGGGGCGGGAGCCTGCATGGTAAGGTTACTATCTACTCCGTACTTCAAGGTCAGGAAGATGGCCCGGCCGACCGTTCCAGCCGCCGAGCCATGGATGTTCATTTCTGCCGTACCATTGGATTCGCACCTTGCAGCCATCCAATCGAGTCGGGTCGACCTGGCGTGCGCGTGGAGGTGTGAATGCGAATGGGGACACTCAGTCACACCAGGAAAGGGACAAGAGGACTGGCAGACAGACTGCAGTAGCCAGTAGTATAGGTATGCCTTCATCTGCAAGACGATGGGCAATGGCTGCCGTTCCCCTGCCGGGCTAGCGACGCAACCAATGGCAGACAGAAGCGCCCATGAAAGTGAGAGTCGCTGCGGGAGTGGCAGGGGATTATTCAATCGAAGGTGTTTGGGGGCGCACGAGGCCAATGAGACGCCGTATCACTTCGGTGGCAGAGGGGATCTCGACGATGAGTGGTGAGAGGGGGAGGCGACGAACAGGGATGCTGCGAAGTGTAAGCGCCGGCTTTAGACTACATTAGCTGCAAGATGCAACCTGGCACCGCTGTCACAGCAAATCCCCGTCCACGGCTTGTGGCTGTTTGTTGGAGCTCTCCACGCTCATGTCTCGTCAAGGCACAAACCAATAAGACGGTGATCCAACGATATACGGCGTACTATCTGGTTTACTGGAATTGAACAGGACTGACTAGGGTGTTGATGGTTGTTGGTGTTGGATTCGTGCAACACCTCGCGGTGATGATTCGATCCCGTCGCGCAACATCCGAGTTGAAAGGACCGTAATGGCATGGGCGCGTCGGCTCTGTCAACCCTAACGAGCGCTTGCTCGCCCTCGCTCGCTTTTCTCTTGTACTCTATGCCATGTGGTCAGTAAAAAAGAAAACAAAAAAGTAGAAGTTCAGACACAGAGTATTCCCGTCGTAGGGGACCTCCTGACCGCCATCGATGGAAGCCGAAGGGCGGTAAGCTGACGGCGTGGGTTGCGTCTATTCCGAGATGTCTGGGCCGCCTTGTGAGGTGATGCTGATCAAGACAGCCAGCCTAAAAGAAGAAAGATTGACATGGTTTGGGGGTGGCCGAAGGAGTACCTCAGTGGGTAAGATGGCCCGGGCAGGGTCTTACCTCAGAGGCCAGCGACATGTTGTGGAGAGAGGGGTTTGCAGCTTGCTGCAGCTTCCTGGCTACCTAGACACGGAGCACATGTAAGTGCTGTACCTTAAGGAAAGGTATCTACTTTGCCATACCTGCCTTACTGTGTAGGTAGGTAGGTAGGTAGGTAGGTGCGAGTGGCCTCAAAGACCGACGGAATGAGAAACTTGGATTGATTTGTTTTAGTGTGTACATTTGAGTCTTTGGGTACCTTAGGTGTCTCGTTGAACTCTTTCCACCCAGAATTTGGGGGGAAACATGGACGTTGATGGATACCTTGCGTCGATGCTTCTATTCTTGGCCTTCCCTCCCAACCTTTCATCCTTCCACCTTGGTCCTTCTTGGAATCCTGCCGGGGAGGACCAACGCCACTGTCAGATTTTAGCTGGAGGCGTGCAACCGCAACCTTCTGTGCACCTTCCAGGTCTCCCTATTCTCCTACGTTCCTTGCCTTACGTAAGATGGCTGCGAAGCTACGTAGTCTTCACCGCCTGCCAACTGGCATTCATGGGTCCTACCCTATCAGTAGGCGGTAGCCGAATTCTGCCGGACAAAAAAGTTCATCCCACCAGCGCAGCATCTTGCTTCCAAGGCATAATCAATAACCCCGCGCCGTTGAACACGCCCATCATGGCCACGGCCGAGCGATCCAAGGCCGAGGAACCCAAAGATGACGAATGGATTCACGTTAAATCCAAGTCCCGGCTCCGGCGAAGCGCCCCCAAGCTACCTGTCAAGGGTCCTGGCGCAATCTCCAAGCCTACTGAACCCCGCAGCCACAAGTCAGTCATCGACATAACGGCCGAGTACGACTCCTTCAAGTCCAAGTGGCGCGAAACAAACTGCTGCCTTAGTTTGAAGAAGCTGGTGAGGGACTATTACGAAGGCCATCGGAGAGTTCGCAAGGCGGTGTGTCTCGGTGTGGGCACGTTTGATCCTGAGGACGGAGGCTGGGACGCAAAGAGGAGGAGTTATATCCAGCTCGACGCCTTTTTGACCGTCGTCGAGGTTTTGTGTATGCCTACGCTTAGCCGTCGCAGTCCTGTATACCAAACTGCACTGCAAGCTCTCAGCTAACCGGATACCCAGCCGAATTGTGTAAAGAGTCGATCTCGTGCTCCTTCCAGGAACCTCGCTTCACTCCCAATGACAGAGCATTTCTTACCAGTCTTGGTCATGAAGTTGTCGAGTCCCCTGCTGCATTCGAAGCCGTGGATGAAGAGACGCTGGTATTTGCGGTACACATGTACCGGCCAATATATGAGGCGACGCTCGAGAAGGCCATGCCTGCCATGTTTGTCGGGACAGGATGGGATGTTTGGGATGAGTGCGTAAAGGTGCTACTCCATGGCCGCCCAACGTTTATTGACACTTTGCTAGATTTGCCACGATGAAGGATGATGAGTTCAAGTGCATGAGTGACATGCATGCCTCGCATAAGCACTTTCGCTTCCCACAGGATGGTACATACACAACATTCTCAAGCACGTGTGTGTACTGGCGGCCAAAAGCCGAGACTGTCGTTCAACACGAGACTTCGGCCGGCGAGAAAGATGCATCGCCACCTCAAGAAGTTGTCACAACTGTCGTCCCTGGGACAAGTACCCAGATAGAGGAAAATTCACCAATTCCTCCAAACAGAGAGTAGGGCTTGGAGCATTGGACGCTGACGCTGTCGATAAAGGAGTGAGACGTCAAGTCATAAATTCCTCAAAGAAATCAGCATTACCACCACGGGGCCTTTATGTCACTGTACTCATAAGCTTGCTGTGATTGCATTGGACATCTATTGGTTCTCCTACTAAGCGCACCGCTCGAGTAGTCAGTGGTGTTTTGCAATGAGAACGATGCATGCGTCGAAAACATCCGATTAGCCCCAGAAACATGTATTCCCTAGCATCTATGGCCAACTCATCCTTTGCAACATATCGGGAGACTTTGGTATGACGCCAGGCGCAAATGCCCTCTCTCTCCCACCAAGATCAAGACTAAACAGCAAGCCCTCGTACCTGGAACTCGTCCATCACAGCTCTCCTTCTCTTGGTCGGTCATCACAAATTTCACCTCCTTGGCACCAAAGAACTGCTCAAAGTCAACACGAAAGATCGTCACGTTCAAAGATGCGCCTTTGCTCTCACTGGAACGTCACGCGCCAGATAGTTTGGGTCAAGGCCCATTACCGTGATCTCGACCGTGCCCATCACTTCACTCTTCATAAGTACCCTGGCATAAGCGGCGACGACACCAACATATCTCTCGACGCAACGACAGGGTGAAGCCCTAGCAGAAAGCACGTCAACAGTCTCGCTTTGGCCGCATTATCATCGCTACCCGATGGTTCATTGCGGCTGCTGTTGACATGCTCTTGCACAATCCTCCCGACCTACACGACCGACTCAACAGGCTTCTCAACATGACAACACAAAGCACCGGCGTCTGGAAGCCGTATAATCCGTTGGCATTTCTTCTAAAAAAAATACGTGATCCTTCATGGCCCCCCTGATTGCTCAGGCGTGACACTCGAAAGCCGAGCACTTGAACTAGTTAGGACCGAGACTGCTCCACCGCGTAACATTCACAAACACCCGCTTATTAGCCCAGTCTGCAGGCATATCGACGTAGACAGATAAAGGAATGCTCCGAACTGTCCGTTCAATCCAGCGCTAGGGTCAGCAAAGAGCCTTCAGGAAAGGTATACCATCCTGGGGACGTCGCCTGCGTAGGAGCTAGCTCAATTCGTACGCTGTTGACGAGCGGCGTGCTAAAGGAGCCAAGGAACTCGTGTCACTGGCGCCGTCACCGACCTGTCGCAAGGATCGCGGCTCCTCGAGCATGGGGCATTCCGCAATGATATTGCACACGACGGGAATGATGCTGAAGTTCCTGTAGCTGCCGGCCGAACTCCCGTTTCTGGAGTATTGGAACAGGAATACGCCCGCGTCAATCCAGCTGAGTCTGACATGTAGCCGGCCGGGGAGTAGCCAGCGCGTTGGATAGCAAATTTAGCCATGCCAAAGGGGACTGACGCTCCGGCGAAGACATCAACAGTGTCGCCGTTTGGCCCGTGCCTGAGAAGATGTTAAAGTGCTGCCCTAGAGGGCCGAGGATTCAGAACACGATGTCAATACTGCACACCACCCATTTTCCATCATTTGACTTAGCACTCAATAAAAGCAGCTCAATGAGATATACACAAAAGCGATACCTCTACCTAGGAATTCGAGTTAACTGGATCAATTAATTTCCAAGCTCGCTGTTGATGAAATTTGAGGAGACTTGCTCTAAGTCATCCATATTTTTCATGTCGTTGGGCCAAGCGGGGCCGTCCTGAAAGCGGCCCGATCCTGAGCTCCCAATGCCCATGGAAAGCTTCACCCGGCCTGGACATCCGCTCGGCTGCAAAGCGCAAGTTTGCTGACGGACATGGCCGAAATTGGCCGTGCGGAGCTTCAAGAAACCCCCCGAATCATGGGATGGATGCCACCCCGGAGCACAACCCACTTGGCCGTAGAATGGACACCTCTGAGTTCTGGGCCCTCCGTTGTGGTTCTGGCTTCTTGTCCTTAGCTTATGCGGGGTTCGTAGCTTACCAGATGATTGCCGGGGATCCCAGCCAACATGATCCTGAGACCAGCTGCGGGAGGGGGGGGGGGGGGGGGATGGGTATTCCTTTCTTCGGTCGTTTGTCGGACAATAGCCTTACTCCTACTGTGTACGCCAACCTCGCAAACCCCTCTCGTCAACGTTCGTCTTAATTTAACGACTGATCTTCACCCATCCAGCTCACTATCATCCTCGGTCAGACGTTCGCTTTGTCGAGAGCTTCTCGCATGGCACCAAACCTCTCGAATAGCCGTCTCAAATGAGGACATCGCCCCATGAATACGACCGCGCTCCAATCCGTCTCTCAAGGCATAACAGCGACTGTGCCGCTGCCGGAGAGTGCGCCGGGCAAAAAGTCCACCAAAAAACGCGTCAGGAACTTTTCCGCCGATGACCGCGCCGCCCATCGCATCTTTGAAAGGGGTCGCCGCGAAGCCTTCAAGGAACGCTTGACCGTGAGCATTGACGGGAGAGACAGGAGCAGCTGTTAACTTTGTAACCAGACTAATCATCCATTCCACAGGAACTCGCCGGCCAGCTGCCAGTCCTTGCAGACACTGATCCCGAGCGGCTATCGAAGCATGTCGTCGTTAATGAGAGCATTGCCCGCCACAAGCTCTTGGAAAACCGATGCGTCGACGCTCTTCGTGATATTGAGTCCTTGCTACGAGAACGCGATGAGCTGTTGGCAGAGATCAATGTCTGGAGAGGCAACGCCGGCGCGAGTTCCCGGCTGCCGAAAAGCATTTCTAATATTGCGGGTCTTATGAAAACCGAGGATGAAATGTTTAGTCGCGAAGCAAAAGGCCATCACATACGCGAGGGAAATGGTTCCAGCGAAGACAAGGGGTCTCGTGGCGGTCAAGCTCAGGCTGCGATGACAATTGAAACCCACCCGATCGAAGCATCTCATCTCTCGCAGCTTCTAAAGGTGGATCGGATACACGATATTAACCCAGTCCCAAACCTTGACGACTTATTGCGCGACACATCTTGGCCTCAGACTACCCAAACTCATCTACCAGTGTTCCCCCCCGAACCTCCCCTTGCGAGCCCAGACGACATCCCAATCATACCACCTACCATCACACGGGATTCTCTGCCAGTTGCGACATCAGAAGCAGCCGACTATCGAATGTTCGTCGACGTAAACCCAACACAGCAGGCGCTGCTTCTCAACATGGACACGATCCAGTTTCCTGCCCCGGACGGGAACTCCATCGAGCTACCGAATGTTCTGCTCAGGCCTCACTCTTTTTCTCGAACCAGCTTAGATGAAGAACCATTACCTCAGCACTCTCAGCAATGGGTCTCTTGGCATGGATAGTCTATTTCAATGTCCCGGATTCTCATGTACTCTAACGAACGCCACTTCACGACTCATTCGTACCCAGGACATACCGACGATACCGTTCGTCTCAAATCTGCTTCAGGACCTCCTCAATCTTTCCCTGACTGCTCTTCTCCCCGCCGATGAAGAGCTTCAGCGCATCTGAGAGCCGAGTCGTCGTAACGGGGTCGGCCTCGATAGCCTTCTGCAGCGCAGCACCGCCATCAGCGAGGTAGTCAACGTCAGTACGGGCCAGGTTTCCGTCCCACTCGGCCGCTGCCAGAGGGTCGATGGTGGCGAGCTTCTTCAGCCGCTCAGGGGTCGGACCGATGTCTTTGTAGACGTGAACAGGCTTCGGCACGCCTTCGCCTGGCTGTTTGCTACCATCGTAAGGAAGCTTGGCTAGTTGGTCAAGGACAGTGTGGGAGATGGTTGCAGAATGACATCCCATTTCCCCTGCCGCCATAGCCTCTTTGGCTGAGATGAAGCTAGAATGAATAGCTTAGCGATGCTTAGGTGGAACAAGAACAGTTTTATATGCGCTTACCTGGCGTTCTTGACGAGTGGCTGTTCTTTGCCGGTCTCTTTGTACAGCCGCTTGTATGTCTCGATGATCTGGATGATTCGTGCCGACATAGGGTGTTGCGTTGCTGGGTCCTCGACATTCGGCCAGAGGACATCCGGTTCATCGTGGGCCCGCACCTCTGCGACAGAAATCAGTAAATAATGCCAAATAAAGTGGTTGGGCTGACCCGACCATTGTAATACGGGCTGATGTACAGCATGCCGGCCTGGCTGCAAGCAATAGCTTGAGGCAAGCTGAAGAGCGCTGTCCCTAGGGTGGGAATCCCTTCTGAGGACAAGATCTTTGCAGCGTTCAAAGCTGGTCCAGTCGATGGTATTTTGATGCAGTATCGATCGCGCCCGATGCCGGCTTTGGCAAATTCACGATCATAAAGGCGTGCATGATCGAGGGTTTCCTGTGTCTTGTACGCGTTGGAGGGGAGGGTTTGCAAAAGGACTCGGCCGCGGATAGAGTTGATGTTCTTTTTGCACATGAGAACGGCCTGAGGATTCGATGTCAGCCTACCATCATAGGGCACGAGGAATTGATGTAGTGATACCATGCGAGTGTAGATGGCGAGCCACCCTTCATTCTTCAATTCCTTTGCAGTCTCGAGGAAAAGATGCCTGTTCGATTCATGGCCAAGCTGGATATCAACCCAGAGCTGGTTGCTTGTTTGGTCGTGGGGGACAATGGGCATGCTCTTGATGTACTCAGGATCCATCCAATCGACATCGACGTTGACTGTGTTACGTTGATGAGTGTCCAGGCTTCTGTAACGTTGATCCAGGCGCAAGTTTTCACTTACTCTGTTCCTCAAGCTTGTCAAGCCATGTGATTGCGCCCTGGCTGCCCATGATTGCGGATCAGAGGTAAATTTTGCTGGTAATCGAGGTCGTGACGTTCTATTTCCTGGCGTTCTCAGTTATTCGATCCTTATTTCACGTTTTTGAACCCATGGGAAATCTTCCTTTAATAGCAAATAACTCAACTCAAACATTTCGGCATTGCTGTCTCTAGAATAACTGTCTCATGCCCTGCGTGTGGCGGCATCTTCGCAGTCATCACTAGACTTATCGGTGGTCCCATTCCGAACACCGTAGGACCAATCATGCGAACATCCTTTTGAGCCCCCAGGATGCCACACGCAGGTCAATGTAAGGCAACACGCAGGGCGCTGTTGACCCCGCACCGTGGGGGCTTTTACCCTTGTTCATCGTCTGTTCACATCGACGATTGGGGTGGGAGGAGGCGAAGAGGATACTCTGGGGTAAAACCAACATAATACGACTGTGCTAGGGACCATTTCCCTGGGTGCTGGCGACCCCACTTCGACTTTGACACTGGTATAGACGACGTCGTCAATGTTGTGTCTTCACCGTTGATGGGGATGCCCTGAGGTCAGACTACCTATGATGCTGCGAGCTTGTACTAGTTTTGGAACATCAGATGCCACACTCATTAATTACTACCTACTCTAATACCAAATGTCCCCAAGAACCCCGAGTCTTCCAGTCGGGCGAAAGACCTTCATTAGTCGAGGCTACGCGGCCGCCTCCCCAACAGCCTAATATCAAGGTTCAAGACCAACAACTTTCCATACACATCGCCCTGCACAGGCCAGAGAAACTAGCGTGTCTTAGCATGCTACCTAAACTCTAGAGCTCTTGGGCACACACAGGGCAGCCCCGCATTTACCCCATCCTGAACAAACAACCACCATGAAATGCCCTGCACAGGGAGGTTTGCTGCAGCGTGTTTTGGTCACGGGAGCAGGTCCGAAGGATCCCCCCAGCCGTTCAACAGCCGATGAGACTGAGACGTCCGGCGTTAGTGACGAGGACCCGGTAATATTTCATCGGATCCCATGGGGGACGATGCCGGAACTTGGGGAGGAGCAACCAGGATGGGATGGGTTGATGTGAATCAAGTTATAAAGGAGCCTCCATCGTGATACTCTACTATCATCTCCCGAGTGGATTTACTTTATTCTTCTCCTCAGAGACGAATTCTTCCTTTGATTCAAAAAGTCAGCCACCATGTCACGCGTATCCGACCTCGAGGGGGACGTCAAGTCAAAACTTGACGTCAATCACGTTGAGCACACGGATGCAGACTACAGCCGCAATATCGACGCAAAGTAAGTAGTTATTCACTCATTTATCTTATGTAAATAGCAATTAACCACGGCCAGTAGAATCCGCAATCCACTCATCGGAGTCTCAAAGACAGATCTTCGCGTTCAGGTGTCTGGATTCTGCCGCGAGTATGGCTTCCGCGAAAAAGAGGAAGTCTTTTATCGCGGCGCTCTCGCAGCTCAAAACCCAGAGACGTACGATTCGTTCGAAGAACTGACTGAGGACGACAAAAATGTGCTCCGCCGGGAGGTCACCCACAAATGGCATCTTCCCCGGGACCTCTACTGGAGCATCGCCCTCTGCTCACTCGGCTCTGCTATCCAGGGATGGGATAACACGGGTGCGAACGGCGCCAACCTCACTTTCCCTCAAGAGTTCGGCATCGTGGACAGGCAGGCACTAGTTGGTGTCATCAACGCCGGCCCGACCTTGTTCGGTCTCCTGAGCGCATGGGCTGCCGACCCTATTAACAACTACCTGGGTCGCCGCGGAACCATCTTTTTGACCGGTCTGTTTTGTGTGTTTCCCGTTCTTGCCCAGGCTGTTACGCAGAGTTGGTGGGGCCTCTTGATTTGCCGTTTGTTTATGGGCCTAGGAATGGGAGTCAAGATTTCAACAATTCCGGTATACTCGGCCGAGGTTGCGCCTGCTGCTATTCGCGGCGGAATCGTCACTAGCTTCCAGCTGTGGGTCGCGTTCGGTATCTTCGTCGGCTTCTGCTCCAACTTGATATGGTTTCGTATCGGCGATTTAGCATGGAGATTCCAGTTGGGTGCCGCATTTGCTCCTGCTATTCCAGTTCTTATCTTTGTTTGGTTCTGCCCTGGTATGTGTCGTGATTTTCAGTTCTTTGTCTGGGAAGTCTGACCAGAGATCCAGAATCTCCTCGTTGGTTGATGAAAAAAGGTCGCTACCAAGAGTCCTTCAAATCCTTCTGTCGCCTTCGGAATACCGAAATGATGGCTGCCAGAGATTTGTACTATGCCCATAGGCAAGTCATTGAAGAAAAAGACGCGTTCGGTGGCCAGACGCTTTTACGGCGAGTGACCGATCTGCTTGTCATTCCCCGCCTCCGCCGTGCAACCATCGCCTCATCTTGGATAGTAATTTCGCAACAATTCAGCGGGATTAACATCATGGCCTTTTACTCTTCGACAATCTTTGAGCAAGCTGGCTATTCCGCCCAACAATGTCTCCTCGCCTCTATGGGATTCGGCCTCGTCATGTTTGTCTTCGCCTTCCCGGCGGTGTACATGATGGATACTTTCGGCCGAAGGAATCTCCTTCTTATCACCTTTCCTAACATGGCTTGGTGCCTATTAGCCTCGGGCCTTTGCTTCCTTATCAATCAAGGTTCAAGCTCGAGAGTACCACTCATTGCATTCTTCATCTATCTATTCACAGCAATGTACGGGCCAGGTCAGTAAAACAGCAGACTTACATTCCAAATCCAAAAAAGGTATTTGAGAAAAGCTAAAACACGAACAGGCATGGGCCCTCTCCCATCCATTTACTTTTCAGAGGCTTTCCCTCTGTCTCATCGTGAGATAGGCTCAGCATTCACGATCTGCGTCAACAATGCGGTTGGTAGTGCCCTCACTTTAACCTTCCCCGAGCTTTTACACAGGATTGGGCCGACTGGGGCATTCTGCTTCTATGCCGGTCTCAACCTGCTCGCTTTCATCGTCATCTTCTTCCTCATTCCAGAGACAAAGTGGGTCCATCTTCATATCGCTCAGAAAGCCAGAAGCAATTACTCACTCTTGGTACCAGGCAACGGACACTGGAAGAGCTAGACTATATCTTTGGAGTCCCCACACGTCGCCATGCTGCATATCAGGTCCGTACATGGTTACCTTGGTTTGTGAGGAGATATGTTCTTCTCCAGAGAAACGCTAAGCTCGAACCACTTTATCATCTCGAGTGATCAAAGACGTCAGGGGCTGTTACAATGGATGGAGGGATTCCTTAGCTAGATAGGTAGTCCAATTATATGATCTGCAGCAGTGCGAATTAACGATACAAAACTCTAGGGATATTATTCTCGTTGGAAATAGTGATGACAATGTTCCCGACCCTTTTCGATGAGATGCCTTTCAATGACTGTTCAAGCATGAAGACTTCGCCAAGATGAAGTGTCATTCTTGGTGCACAAGAATCATCATGAAACTCGCATACCTAATGAGCAGCGTCGCTGATTATCATTATTTTTCGAAAATGCCACCAGGAAAAAACCATGATCCTCAGGGCCACCAGAGCCGTGTGCTGTCTGTTGGCGTAGATGTCACGGAATGTAGTTGCCTCCACAACCTGGTCACCAAGGCGGTTCTTTCCCCGAACCAGCCCGTCTTTGTGAATTTTGGAGTGGCTTTTCCACATGTGCTGTCCAACGACGCGTATGAAAACCAGTACAGCCGGTTATTCGGGGCCGAAAATACCATGTACTCAAGAGATATCTCTTCCGGAGCAACCCATTCGTGAACAGGAGGCTTTCGCTCCGCCTGGGTCGGGCGTGAAATCATCCGGAGTAGCGAACAACCGTTACCAGGCAAGCAATTGCGGATAGTCATCCAGGGACCTCCTTAGCCTACCTCGTATTACAGTTGGAAGCTGCCTGATGTCAGGGAAAGACTGACGAAATGCTCCACAGTCCGCATCCAGTCCGGCAACGAGACGAAGAACGGAGATCACCAGTTTAGACTCAAGACTCTCATCTCTGATACAGAAAACTTGGAAAAAGAGACCTCAGAAACAAATGCAAGTAATAAATAAACTAGGTTGTTGTCATGTTATTGATATTCTTTATCAAGCAGACCTTGATCGCCTTAGTGAATTCATCGCGTCGATAAAAGATTCCACTGGTGTTTGAAGTGCTGCGACTCATTTCACTCTGTCCGATCGTGTGATACCTAGCCATAGAGCGATTCCGAAATTCACTAGTACTTGCCGCTCGGGTGATTCATTCAAAATGGAATGAGGTTGGTGGACAGCAGCTTCAAGAAAGCGGTTCAAATGCTCCCAGAGATAATGCAGCTGTGGACTATCAACAGTGCGATGCAACATCTATGGATAGAACAAGAATTTGAGTTAGCGTGTATTGCACATGAATGCGAATGGGACACTAAATGGAGTTGAAATTTGGTTCTATAAAAGCGAGGCTATGATGGGTAACATTGAGGCAATCTGAGACTAATTCCCTAGAGGAGACCTAGACAGGTCATTACCATAAAATAGCAGAATGGTAATCGAACGCAGAGACGTATGAGTACGAATGTGGACTTGGGCCGGGCTCGGCTTCAGATTGTCCGAGAAAGTGGCTCATCGTATGGTTCTGGCGTGTCGAACGCGGAATAAACAACCAAAGCAGATGTGGAGCAGCAGTCAAATGCCATCCATCTCAGAGGCTAGATAAGCGTCTCACGCCCGCTGAGTGCTAGAAACAGGCGTATTTCATCGCCATATATAGGATTCAGAGCGAGTGTACTTCATTTTGTTTTACTTCTTATTGAAAGGGAAGGAAAGAGGTGGGAGAAAGTAGGTGTTAGAAAGGCACCCGAAGAGGCTTTCAACAGCTTATAGAAGAGAAATCACGCTTAAAAAATCACTCCGCCACCAATTCAGTTATTCATCTCTCGATACAAAGCGCAAATGGACCATGTGGTTACGTCGATGAAAGACACAACGAGATTGTGATCACCCCAAATATCTTTTATTCTCCTGATTCTCCAATTCATCTCTGAAGAACTCATACGCGACGAAGGGTAATATTCGCTTTGTCAACGGGGCCTTCAAGGCCCTCAGTACTCTCGTTTGAGTACCCAGCAGGGGCCACAATCTCTGCCGTTGTTCCAACAGGGAGAGTTGCCTGGATGAGTATCATCCCAGCAGTCTCATCGACGCTGACCTCAACCTCAAGCACGCCTTGCGAAAGTTCGGTACGATAGTGAGCAGACTTAAGACCGGACAACACTGGCGCAAGCTGTACTTTACTCCAACCCGGTTGTAGCGGCTTCACGCCAACCACATACTGCGGCAGGAGAAACACTGGCCAACAGGACCAAGCATGCATAAGTGAGGTGTCATGTCCGAAGGGCTTCCCCTCAACTGTCATCGCTTCCCAATGTCCTCCCGAGTAATTTGGACTTGACGTGTCCGCCATTGGACCCCACACATTTTCAATCAGTTGGATTGCTTCACGACCCCTTTGGCGTGAAAATAGTGCCTCTACGGCAAATCCTGTTGCGTAGGGACTCACAACTCCTGTACGGTCCCAATGTTGAAGACCCTTGAAAGCTGCAGGCAACCAGCCTGGAGGTCCGGAGAGGTGAGATGCACAAAGATCGCTGTCTTCAGCAACATCAAGTGCAACGGCATAGCCATTCGTGTCCTGACAGATTCCTTCCTCTGGCAAAGCGGACCCCATACGGATGCAACCCTTTTCAGAGTTCCATAGATTGGTCAGAATACTCTTTCTCAGAGTCTCGAGCTTCTTAGATAATTGGGACTTTCGTTGATCGTCGGTGGTCATAGTCTTCACAGCGTTCAGGGCGTCGTAATATGCCAAATTCGTTGTACCAGAAGCTCCAAAAACAGGTCCTCCAAGCGGATACCAATGCACTACGGAGGATTAGCCAATACACCATGCAGCCGAGAGACAGATTCTTATCTTACTTGACATGTCAGGTGAAACTTCGATCAGTCCTGATGGCTTCTCCTGGGATTCGGCGTACTCGAGTAACTTCTCCGCTGCCGGAAGATAACGCCGAAGAGCTTCATGGTCTCCAGAACTCAACCAATAGTCCTTGATGGCGACAACCAACAACAGGGCGTAAGTCATAGAGTAGAATGCGTAAGTTGGAGGAGGCTCGGTCCCTGCGTGGATAGGGGCCTGGATAGGACATAAATTTCCAAGGTATCCTGCCTCAGTCTGATGGCTAGCAAGAAGCTCGATGCTTCCTGCAACAGCCCCACTATCCATACCGGAATATGCAACGCCTCGACCTGAAACAAAGAGATCTCCTCCAAATGTTGCTCGATCTCTCTTTGCACCATCTACCATGCATGATACAGCATTCGTCCCAACTTGGAAGTCTGCCAGCGTCCTCTCCTTGTTGCCGAATAACAAGTCATTCTGGTAGAGACAATCCCCGTTCGCGTCTCTGACATCCAAGTTGCGATAGAGAGCAAGCCAACCCTCAGGACCTCCGAAAGCTACAGAGCCAGTGTTGATTCCCGAACCTCCAAGAAGGGGTCGGATCTGTACGTCTGTGATTGTTGCAACTTCTCTCTCGTTGATGATGACGGTGATCCGGTTGCCGCTCGTAATGGTAGAAACCTTGATCCATTCGCCTTGCTTCACAATTCCGTGAGTAGACCAGCTGCCAAATGACTTGACTGGGAATACGGCTGATACATGTGACATCCCCTCAAAGGCACGAAGCTCTTCCTGGATAACGTCCAGGCAGAAGATGACTCCATTGGCAACCATGTGGACACCCCAACTCGCACCTAGCTCTTCAACAAGAACCTGGAACGAAACTTCCTTGTCGCCCCATCGCGTGCCTTGGCGGCAAGGAGCCCAATGCTGACCAAGAACCCTGGTCCCTTGGTCGGTGACGTCCCATGCTGGGGCCGTCTCGCCTTTGACCACGGTGCACATCTCTAGCGTGTTGACACCGTCATTCCAAATGCGGTTGAGAATCTCGTCTGAACAACTGAAAGAAGCCTTGGGTCGTATTGTTGGCCTGATTGACTCGAAACCGAATTTGCTGATTACAAGAGTGGCATTGGAAGTGATGAGAACAACTTTCAAGTACCTCTGGGATCGTTGTGCGAGTCTTGGTTTGACAGTTTGCTGCGATTCCGAGGGCGCTACAGTCATTGAAACATTGCGATAACAGTCCATAGCATTGGAAAAGAAAAAGTAGGGGCCATCGCCTCGAAATTGTGTTAGTTGAGACACAATAACGGTTAAAGGAGAATATCTCTACCTGTTTCGCATTCGATTCCTTCATGAGTTTCGCTATAAAAGATTCTCGCGCTGATGGGACCCTCGCCACTCGCACGATCAACCAAGAATGTAGGAATTCCGCCAATGCATCGGCCAAAGTCAAAAGTTATTGATGCCTGTTTCGAAGATCCTGATAGTTCGCCATTTGTAAGAGTAACGACCCCTGACTCAGCGTCGCGCCAAGCACCATTCGAGGTTGTAACTAGCCGGGTTGGCTCCGACAGGATGGCCTTTGAGAGATCCATTTGAATTGCAAGAGAAGCAAGATATGATGAATAAGAATTGCTGGATTGGCATGAGTTTCGGCCTTGAAGCCAAGTGACGTGCAGTTACCCAGGTTTTGAATGGCATGCCTAGTAAGTGTGGATAGGCATCTAAGTAAGACCCGTTTCGGGAAATCCGAGCGTGTCTAACACTAGGCTTTTTTCGGATCAGCGTCCACCCGGATGTGTGGGGGAAAGGTGGACGAAGCTCATAAAAGGGGCGCTACGTCCACCTCAACGCCAATTTGCTTCACGTCTCCGTCCACCCGCGGAATCACTCACACATCTCGGCAACTCCACAGAGACTTGGGGCGCAGGAGCTTTCCCAGATTGCCCAATAGAGTCGATGGGTTCACCAAACGAGGTTGAACAGACTAGCCACACTTGTGGGGTCTGTTCTCGATCTTTCACTCGCATAGAGAACTTGAAACGTCATCAAAAGACGCGTAGGTCATTCATGAACGAGCACGAAGGAGCTGGTGACGCTTGAGTCCTGACTGTTGTAATGCATAGACCAGGGAAACCTACCTCACCGTTGTATGATTTGCCAGAAAAGGTTCTCACGGAGCGATCTTCTCAAGAAACACCAACGACTTCATCAGAAGCTTAGCCAAGAGGATGCAGTACGTGACGAGAATGAATACTCATCAGCGAAAAAGGTGGATTACTCCTTCATCATAGAGAACCCCAGCCAACTTTCGTCCCAACCGCGAGATACATACAGAGAACCGGGAACACACCCGCTACTTGTTGGCGACTCACGACTGCAGTATCTTGATGTTGACCGCGCCACGAACAAGACGCCCAAGGCTAGTTATGCAGCGTCTTCGGTTCTTTCACCATCATACGTCGCGTTCTCCAGGCCTCAAGATACAATGGCAACAACCAGTGAGCCAGCGGCGAACATGGACTTCTCGTATTTTGTTCAACCTTGGCAGGATAGCCTGTGGGTTGACTCAAGCCAGTGGTTCACACCAGATTTCTACGATGCAGTAAGAGAGACATCACATATAAGTGATCCTTTCATACTCCAAGACGATTCTATGTCACTGTCTGCTCACTGGAATTGGCTGGGTCAATATCCAGCCATGCCTGGCAGTAGTACACGAGTGGCCCCAAACGACGACCGAACAACACCTTTAGTTCTAGCCGAAATCTCGGATGGGCCAGAGAATATATCGAGAGTTAATTCTCCTCCGAACGTGCCCTCTAGAGAGGACGGAGTAGCATTTGCGTGGAACCCGTCGTCGAAAAGTCTTTGTCAGACACATTCTATTTCTATCAACGCGTCACACCCTCTTATGATTTTACATAATCCTCGATTCGACATACTAGAATCAACATGGATTCGCGTTCGAGAGTTCCTAAAGCTTGAGACTCCCGGCTCGGAGAATCTGATTCCGCCGTCTCTGGCAGTTGCGAATGTCTTTCTGGGGCTCTTTTTCGACCGTTTCTATGAACAAAGTCCTGTACTTCACTTACCAACGCTCTTAGTTGATCACTTGCCGTCATCTTTACTCTCCGCCATGATCATCATCGGCGCCACATACAGCCGTATCCGGCACACAAGACGCTTTTCCATACTCATGCTCGATAGAGCTCGTCAAAATCTCCAAGCGCTGATCGAAGCCGACAAGAGCTTGACCAGACATCCTGAAACTATCTATGCATCTTCACTACTAGTGTATACTGGGTTATGGTGCGGAAACAAAGGGGCATTTGAGACTGCCGAAGCATTCAGAGGAAGTTTGGTGACATACGTCAGACGTCTGTTTCAACCGAAAACGAAAGTTGCGGATGTCGCAGGTAGTCGTGTTGAAGATCATTGGAGGGCATGGGCAACATCTGAGTTCAAGCGCCGTTTACGCTGGTACGTATTCATGATTGACTCACAGTTCCCCGCCATTTTGAACATGCGGAGTATGATGTCTCTCGCAGAGGTCGCTAGGTGGGAGTGCCCGGGTGATGACGCCGCATGGTGTACAACGAGTGCTCCAATCTGGGCAACTCTAGTTAAACCCTTGGGGAGTTTATCGGCACCAGAGTTTGGCATTGTTTTTAAGGCTCTTACGAACAATAGAAGAGCTGATTTCACCAACTTGGCACCATCAGTCTCTGCTATTACTGATAGCATCAGCCCGTGGACACAATTCCTTGTTCTGAGTTGCTTGGCTAGCCAGGCACTGGACTGGTCGCACGATTGGTCAGTACAGGTCGGCAGTGACCCTGCCATGATACAAGATAAGGGCAGTGGTTGTCATCAAGAAAGTCTGCGGATACGGGACAACATCATCGGTAAGTCATACTGTCTTCCACTTGTCTATGCCAAAGCTGACGCGTTCATTTCAGCATCTTTGAAATCATGGGAATGCTACTACGGCACCAAGTACAGTGGCAACCCGATCCCGGATGTGGCGCAAAGTCCAGTGCTGTACTTTCAGAACGCATCTCAAATACTCCGTGGCCTAGTAAACATTCAACTACAAACGTGCGTTGCTGATTTGCAAGATGCTCTCGGAAAAGGCGGAGCAAATGCTGTTGACGAAAGCCTGGGCCGACTTCGAGTCTACTTCACAAACGGATACACCAACTGTGTTGGAGCACACCAAGAGTTGCCATTTGAGTCTCTAGATGCCTTCGCCAAATCAGTCATGGAAACTACATCAATCATGAGCAACCCGACACTACAGTCTGCCACACCTTATAGCATCTTTGGAATCTTCCTAAATCATGTCTTGCAATGGGCATTTCTAAAAAGCAGCCCCGAAACATTGAAGTCGCACCTTCGTGAGCATCTCCGAGATATGGCTTTCTCATATCACGGACGAGGCATGTCGGAGCTCAGTGGAATACTTGATTTCGGGCTCTCCTCAGCAAACCCGACAGTCGTGAACAGGGACAGAAGCCACTTAGTTCTCATGCAAGCTGCGCAGAATTTGGCGCTGCTTGGTACTTGGGGCGCATCGTTGAATCTGGCCCTTCTGCTTCAGTTGAGAGCGAAAACTTAAATTTGACGCTGTTGATATTAAGAATTAAGTCTCGTAAATTATTGTGTAAAAGTACAGCTCATGCCTCCAGCAGCAGCATTAGTAGTAGAAGTAGAGGTAATAGGCGATTCGTTCAGCATTGGGAAAGTGTGCAACGAATATGAGGTCCTGTCATGGTTGACTTGTTCATGGCAAAGTGATACGAGCAAAGGATCCGAGGCTACGATACCATCCTAAGTTAGTCAGGAAATTAGCCTAACTGGGTATTGCTAAGGTTATGCATGCCTCCCATCAGCAGGCTTTAGCAGCATCTGGGGTAGGTAGATCCACTTCCTTTTGAACGTAGCACTAGCTTATCCGCGTCCGGTTGCTTTCGAAGTTCTGATCAGTCATCAGTACTTTCCCTGTTGGGAATTTCGCAAGAACCTCCCATACTTTCACCATCATGTCTGGCAATTTTCCTCCGTACGTTGCGGTAGGGGTAAGTTCTTCATGGGGTCCTCAATCCACCAAGACATGTACGTGTCTAGTGATGGCCAACTGAGGCCGAAGCCAGACGATGGGAAAGAGGGGAGGCAAAAGGTACATTTCCACGGAACTGTCGGCCTGAATGCCAATAATTTGAGAAAGATTCAGTGGGTAATTGTAAGTCAGAGTCAGTGTGTGGAAATGTCAGATAATCGGGCTGATGCGACTCACATTCCTTCCTGGAAAGTGTGACTTTTCCGTCCGTTGAGCCTCGCCATGTTGTCCTACCGGTGGAGCCGGAAAAGCTGGCCAGGTTCATAAACGAAGATCCAAATGGGTTCGGAGTATTTGGAGAAGTGGTTTTCCGTCGCATCCTCTTGATGTAAGACCCTGTCAACACGCGTCCAGGTCACTACCATGTCGGTACTAGTGCAGGGTCCGAATTGAAGACCATCATCTCCCCGAACCCCGCACGAGCGGAAAAGCTCGGCGCCCCATCTCCCCCATGGGGGAACGCTCCACCTGGGGGAGTCGGTCTTATCGTGACTTCAGGCGGAGCCAACGGAGAGATGAGATAGTCTGATTTTCCTTGTTACCTTATATAGAGAGGCTCTGCACAGACGAAAAGATGCTTGGAAGTGTTACCGTCTAATACCGAAGTCTCGCAATTCGAAAGCCACGTCATCCCACGATCTGATCGGTATCGAGACAACGCACAAAGGGTTCAAATGCCAGCGTCTTTCCGAGTCATCAAAGCACAATGACTGAGCCAAGAAAGTCCGAAGAGGACAAGGCAGATGTCAGACAAATGGAGCGTGTCTTGACAGGCGGTTCTAATGGAGGCGCCGAGAAGCCTGTCGCCAAGATTGGCAAGGTTGACGAGTTTGGGGCGCATACCAAGACCGACCCCAAGGAGATTGCACTCGTGAAGAAGATTGACTTCTACATTCTGGTACGAGCTTCAGTTGATGGTTGGGAAAATGCTTCCTTTACTAACTCGACCGAAGCCTATTCTCTGGATCATGTACTTCCTCAATTTCCTCGACCGAAACGCAATGATCAATGGCAAGCTTAACTCGCTGTCCGAAGACCTGAAGCTGAAGGGAACTGAGTACAACACTTGCGTATCCATTCTATTTGTTGGGTGAGTTATGTATCTTTGTGTACCAAATGGCCACTAATCTCAATGTCGGTAGATACCTGTGTGGCCAGATCCCCTCGAACATGATCCTGAACCGAGTGCGACCCTCCTGGTACATGGCGGGTATGTATGCCAAGCATCCAATCAAGAACGCGTAGTTCTAATGGGTGGTCACATCGCAGGCTTCATGTTGACTTGGTCGATAATAAGTCTGCTTACGTACCTTGCACACGACTACAAGACAATGCTAGTGTGCCGGTTCTTTCTCGGTATCACAGAGGCTCCGGTAAGTATCTGATCGTTGTTGTCGCCGACATCGAAGACATGAACGGGCTGACATTAGTCTAGTTCTATCCTGGCGCACTCTATATGCTCAGCATGTTCTACACACGCAAGGAAATTGCGACTCGAATGGCTGTCTTTTACACTGGCAACATGCTAGCTAGCGCTTTTTCTGGTCTGATTGCGGCTGGCATATTCGCCGGACTCGATGGGAAGCACGGCCTTGCAGGCTGGCAATGGTATGATAGAATCCGGCTCACCCCACTCAGATTGGAGACTCACAGTTGTAGGCTATTCATTGTCCAGGGTGCTGTGTCCATTGGTGTGGCGATCGCGGCATTCTACTTCCTCCCCGACGCTCCGCTTCAGACTCGCTGGCTCAGCCCTGAGCAACGACATATGGCACACCAGCGCATATTCGACGATACGACCGATCGTCGCGAGGGAGGCACCAGTGTCTGGAAAGGATTGCGCGAGGCTTGTACCGATTGGAGAACATGGCTCTTCTGTCTCATGGACAACTTACACCTTTCCGCAAATGGTTTCAAGAACTTCTTGCCGGTAAGGATTCGCAGCCATAGCTGATCTTTCAGATTACAATAAGCTGACTGGAGACAGAGCGTTGTCAAAACCCTTCACTACAACACCACAATCACATTAGTTCTAACGTGCCCGCCGTACATTCTAGCTGGCATCATGAGCATTGTTGTATCGCATTCATCAGGCCGTTTCAATGAACGCGCATGGCACACAACAGTGAGCAAGCTCATTGCTTGTGCGGGCTTCGCCATGGCTGTGGCCACACTCAATACTACTGTTAGATATGTCGGTATCATGATTTTCGTTGGAGCAACGTATGGGGTTAGTTCATCCAAATGCCGATTTTGATTCCACGCAATTTACTTCATCCTAACGGAATTTTAGGTGAATAATATCATTCTCGGATGGACCTCGGCAACTTTAGGCCAGACGGATGAGAAGAAGGCCGTTGCGATCGCCATGGCCAACACATTTGGGAACCTTGCTAGCGTCTACACTCCATACCTGTGGCCAGAATCAGATGAGCCACGATACTTGACTGCAATGCTTGCTAGTATCGGCTTCTCTCTCGGTGTCGTTGTTTGCGCCTGGATCATGAGGATTGCGCTACAGAGGCAGAACAAGAAAACTCTGGCGTCTAACCCAGATGCCTTGAACTTGTATGTCTACTAAAGCTTGTCATACCCACAGATAGCATGGGGTTTTTTATTTGTTACGGACTATATATTCGTTGGATCCATCCATACACTGGTATCAGACCAACTACAGGTCTCGAGAGGACTTTCCAGTAGAATACAATGTGAGCAGATGTCAATAGGTGTACGACACAGGAAAGGAGCTCACAGAGGTCAACTGCTCTTAGGGTCTAGAAGATGTATTACTGAAATCTGCCCTTCCCTCGAAATATACTCTCAGCGCTCTACATATACCTGAGCTGCTCCTTTGTTGCTTGATCCTCCTCTTAATGCCCCTTATGCTATCCCCTATCCGGCGAGGCCTGACAGCAGACAAGACCCACAGGGCTTTGATAGTCCTACAAAGCAGACTGAATAGTAGTTGAAAGATCAATTTTATGATTACTGGGCCTGCTCGTCCAAAACCATTTGAAACGCCTCTACAAACGAAGCTTCCCAATCGGCCTCTGTCTTCATGGGCCTCCAACCGAGCTCTGGTGCCAAAACAGGCTTCGTAGAAGAGCTGAAGAAATTAATCCCTGCTTGTACTCGCTTAAATCTTTGGTTGGCACACTTGGAATGACTCACTGTGCAGCATAATTCATCTCCGCAATCTGGGGTGTCGCATTCAGCCATCTTGATCCAGCTTCTTCCAAGCTCACCGAACGAGGCTCTCTTGACTCCAAAGCACCAAGCGAGGCACCTGCTTTACCAACCAAGCCTGCAAGATCTCGCCAATTGTGACTGCCAGTGTTAGAGAAGTAAATACCTCTCCTGCCTGAAGGAATCGTCTCTCCAGAGAGGACCTTGCTCAAGATAAGCTCGTACAGTATTGCAAGATCCGTAACATGGACATGCCCAAGACGGGCTGTGCCCTCGCCGACGTATTCAGGGACGCCGGCCTTGATCGCGCCACGAATGATGCTAGGAATTTGCATGGATCCTTGATTGAAGAGGCCGGTGCCACGCCCGTAGACTGTGGGGGGCATCATGATGTATGCTTTGACTCCGGTCTTCTCTGCAGTCCTAACAACAGCAATATCTGTTGTTCGCTGGCCGTAAGCCTCCTGGGATTCTTTCTTTTCTTCATATTCGTATACCTTCTCCTTATCTGACCATTGATGAATGTCACCCGACCGCTGGGTGATCGTTCTTTCAGCAAGGTTGGACGTTCCCGATGTCTGGCTCATCCATGGGTTGTTAAAGATATTACAATAAGAGTCAGAATAGCGCGAAATCTTACGTGAACGAAGTGGACATCTCTTCCCGTCTGCTTCTTCCGCTCCGCTAGCCCTTCCAAAAGAGCTACAGCCGAGCCTGTATGGAAGCCAGTTGGTGTGTGGATAACGTAGTCGTGCTCACTTGCAATCTTCGTCAAAAATTGATAGTCATCTAGGCCCGTAAAGAGGACGGCATGGATGCCTTTCTGGCTCAGAATATCCGCTTGTTCTTGCCCCCGAACTAAAGCGGTAATCGACAGTGCATTGATGTCTTTGTTAGAAGAGTTTAGGAGCTGTGTCAGAACAGTGCCACCTCTACGAAGCAGTCAGTTTGACAGGGCAAGTTCGAGTCGGAAAAGGGCACGGAGCGCACATAAAGCCTGTGGCGCCCGTGAAAAGAAGTTTCTCGGGCATAATGAATAATTTTGATGCTGTCTTGGTAGAAAATGAGAAAAGACATACACAGAATGATGGAATTTGGCGCAATGTTAACTCCAGGCTGTGAAGGTATACTGTAGACCTGACGCGTTACTTTAATGTCGTGGAAATGCCGGGATTTGTATTCCGCGGAAAGCCGGGACCATCCGTGGCCAATGGTGACAGATCTGTGCCTGTCTTGTAATAGTCAGCATCAGTCGACCTACTGGGTACGACTGCAGGTTGACCGCACACCAGAAGTACACCTCCAGTCATTGA